TGAAAGAGAATATGGAAAAGCGTTGCATTATGGTAGAAATTTTCTAATGATAACCCCTTGGGTAAGCACAATTTTATTTATTACTTATCGATTTTTAGCTGAAATATTCTTGTTTTATCACTGATAAGAAGAGCTTCGAAAGCAAATTGATCGCTGAAATGTAAGTAAAATATTTCCATTTGATCCAGTTCGACTTAATATTTATTTCGCTATTTTGGGGTATGGGATAGACTTACCTCCATGTGGTGCACCCTGGGCAACGTATACTCATACGGCAAAAATGTCTATTAACCGGCAGTTGACTTCTCACTTCAAACTATCATCACCCCACTGTATGTCATATTCGACTACTTCCATAGTACTCACCTCACCTTTTTCACTCTACCTTTGTGTCTGCCTGTCTCTTCCACATCTGTGAATCACTCTTCTTTTCCCTCTCTCGAATGTTTCTCACTTTGATGTTCCTCCCTCTGTGAAGCCTGTAGTCAGCTTAATGGCTAATGATAGCTATTCAAAATGCCTGCCTTTTGAAATAATAATTTCGATATATTCTCTCTCAATAAACTTATATGAGCCGATTTAAGTGTTGCTTTTAGTGAGTCGGAATTTAAAAAAATAATTCTTTTTGCTGCTTAGGTATCTGGTCCAACTTTTTCACAAATCTCAAAGGGAATTAAAAAAAACAATTAAAAGCACATTGGATACCTGTTGCCTGAAAATAAGAGCACAATCAAGTTACTACCTCATATGGCTTGCACAAAGTTGTTCCATTTGCCTGGAGATGAGATGAAATGGGAAAGATTTTATTTAACCTATCCCATGCACTTAGACTGCTTTGTCTCTTCTTGAATCAACAAACAAAAGAAATGAGCTTGTTATAACGACTAGCACTGTACTATGGCGATTGGCCAATCAGCTTATAGTTTGTAAGTTGTATAAGACAACATATCCTAATCGATATATTGAGTTTTTAAAACCAATATTGGATGAATTCGTAACAACCGCGATTGTCCAAAGTTGTATTTAATGGCAAAAATGGTGCATTCTGAGGTATGGAGACCAAAATGTCCCTTTGAAATGTCAAATTGCATTTACCTGAACATTTGTGGCGCGATAATTAGGATTAAGGTCATGAGGAAAGTTCTCCGATTGGATATCTTTTCCACGTGTGAAACGATGTTAATTAGAATATTTTTGTAAATGAATTACTGATTTGTGGAGAATTTACTACCAACGAACGAATGTGCCTGCTAAATTTTTCCCCTCGAATATATACATCTCTTAATTTCTTGCCTGTAAATTTAAAGTCCTTTTAAATAAAATTTGCCTAATATACAGATTTGGATATGAGGTGCGAATAGTAAAAAAAATATTGCCAATTCATTTGTTACTAACATAAATGCCCAAAATTTGTGAATGTACGTCGATATTGTTTTTGTTTTAATTTTTGATGCGACTGAAAATTCGATTTATTTCAAATGTAGTTAAGAATTTTCTCTTCAAAAGCAATTTATAAAAACAATCAATCAATTAATAATATTGCATTTCATTCTCTTAATAATATCTTTGTCGTAAAGACAATTTTGTAATTCTAAGAAGCGTGACTGCAAAAACTTCATAGAGAGAGGAGTTTAGAAACCAAAAATAGAACGAAATTATTTTCGCATAATCATTCTATTTATCCGAAACCTGCTATTCCAAGGTGAGAAAAGGTGAAGGAACCCTAATTGGTAGCCAAAAATGGCTCGACATGTTGTTGAAAGGTATGACTTAATTATCAAATATTGATAAAGGAACATTATTGATTGATAGGATTGTATGGAAATGCATTTTTTTTGCGAATTGTAATTAATACAAAACTGCCAACATTTTCGTGAAGAAAACTCATGATTTAGTGGATACTTCGATTCTGGGGTTGTAGATAAGCCAATTCGAAACAGTAACAACTTCTTGGGGACTCGAATGTCGCAGTTATGGAAGGGGAAGAGTTTTCGTTCAACTCCCCTTTCCCGTAATAAGATGGCAATAAAATCAGATCAAGTGTCGCAAGTTCTTCTAAGGTCACATTCGGATCAACAGGTGAAGGACCCTTTAACGAAATGAGCCCAACGAGTTTAAATTCCATTGCGAACAAATTCCATCTTAAATTCACACCCTATTTTGATCAATCACTTCAAGCTTGAGTAGATCGCATAAATTAGAGAGTTGAGATCAAAGAGCGCGTTCATACCTGAAATCGTTAATCAAATTTCAGACCACCCTGTTGTGTTTTAAAGCGTGAAAGAGGTAGAAAACATTTGTTTATTCGAGGGAAATATATATATAACCACAAAGGAGGGGGGGGGGGGTTTTCTGAAAAGATTGGAACAGAAGCACACATCCACCAACTTTCAATCGACCGGATGTCTTTAAAGGCAAAGGAGGGCAGTGAGATTTACGATGAGACTTTGGAGCATGCAACACCTGGTGGATTATCTTATCCAGATACCCCGCAAGATCACCACCCTCCTTCCTTAATTAAATTAGAATCCATGTGTTCCCCTTCCAGGCACTTTAGTCTTCTCTCTCTCACTCACTCTCTCTCTCTCTCTCTCTCTCTCTCTCTCGCTCTACGTGTTTATAACAAAAGATAAACAAAAATAACTACCATGAATATGCTTATGTTTATTCCACAAAGTGGAATGCTATCTGCTCATTAACTGAGGGATGATTCCTCTGTATGACACCTTCGAGTAAAATTACTCAATTGAATAAAGTTGCAAGAGTATTGTATTAATAAGCTGATCATTATCGTTCTAATTTCATATTTCATGAGGGGAAAAAACAACATGAAAAGCCTAGCTCAATAGAGCAAAGAGAAAAGCCATTCAATAACGGAAAATGAAAATATTTAGCATTTCCGATCCTCCCCTTTCACATTAGTTCAAATTTACTAATTTAAATTGCCTTTCCTTGTTTAGTAGGCGGATTTAGAGGCCATAGGTTTCGATTGTCCTCTACTATTTCAGTTTGCAATGCGTAGGCTTTGCGTTATACAATCCTAATAGTACAAACATTCACATTGCTCACCAATTCACTTGTACTTTTCTAAAGAAAATGAATTCGCGAATATTATTCAAAGGTAATGGAAGATCCTATTCTTTTATGACTTTACTGTACTTTTTATGTGGCTGACCACACAAAAGTTCATGAATCTAATAAATCGTCCGAATGTGGCACAAAATAATAAAATTTTGGTCAATTGATATTTATTATTAGCTCTTAGTACTTTCTTCATTAAGAAATTTATTTCGATCCATAAATTAAGCACTTTATACAAATAAATTCTTCAACGAAGTAGAAATATCTTCCTTTCACATAGATTGTTTTCCAAATCACTAATTTTATCGATTTCAGCACTTGCTCGAAAATGCTACTAACTCCTCCAAGATTCACTGTTGAAAGAAGTCGACTTCGGATCTCTGCATCCCACTGGAGGTGCTTCAGACCACCAGTACAAACCCCACTTACTAAACCATTTCTACATCCTCTTCCCTGGAACCAAGACTATCTCTGTACTTCCTCCACTTTCGATAAATACAATAAGACAACAAAACCGATAGAGAATAGGAGGAAGAGGAGGAGGAGGAAATATCAATGATTGTTGCAAGACTCAATTACCCACAAAGAATACCACACATTCAACTCGAGTGTGTGTGGCACTGCACGCTTTCACTGGGTGTGCCAATAACCACAGGGCTTCTCGAGGTCATATTTCAAGAGATTTGTCTATAAAATTTGGATTTTATGCCACAACTGAAGGTTGAGAGTATTCTCTGTTAGGAATTATGCTTCAGTAAATCACAAAGTTTGTCTATGTCTATTTGAAATCATTGATGTAAAAGTACTACTTGTCAATATTGGATTTCGGATTAACTTTCACAAACGACCAATAAGATACTAACTTTGAAAGTATCTGGTAAAGATGTGATGTTTGTATGGTTGGCAAAATCGCCACTGACTTTAGTGTTTTGACACATCAGGTCATCGTCCATCAACATACAGGCTTCACCATGACACTTAAAGTATTCCATACTCCATTCCAATATGAATACTGCATGATACAGGTGTGTGTTTGCATGGACAGGCGATTTTATGATTGGTGAGGACACTAAGTTATGCTTCACTAATATAACTCCCCATTTTCCTCAATTCGATCCCCTTCCCCAACCCATTCCCCTCTACTCTCCTCCCCAAATCCACCAACCGCTTCTTTTTCCTTTCAAATTAATCATTTACCTTCGATGTAGCATTCATAACTTGGTTTGCATTTTGTACATTCGGCCCACTTCCCTGACGCCATCAATACTTCCTTTTACGCATCCGGTTCAATGCAGATCTAACACTCTACGAAAGAGAGTGTCATAAAGAGAGCTTTCCTTGTCCGATCTCTGTGTTTCTTTTTGATCCAATCGATATTAGTAGTAATAATTACAAAAATTGGAAGTTGATTAATGGTTAGATGTCAATCGGTGGCCATGCAATGAGCCAATTACATTAATTAAGATTGGTTACAAATAAGAGTGACAGGATAGCTCTATAGTGTGTAAACAACACCCGTGTGTAGTTCTGAATGGTTTTGTGAGTTTAAAAACACCATCAGTGGGTATCAATAATCTCTAGTGTCCAAAGTGAAATATTCTACTCTCGATGCTCAAAACATTCCATAATTACATTGAGTTGACCAAGGAATATTAATGTATTACGGAAATGCCTAAGGCCAAATAATCCATTGACACGCGAGATTTCCATTCTTTCTTTATGACAATTCAATTACTTCCAAGAATTGAAGAAAAAACAAAATAATATTGAGCACGAAATATCAGAACGCGTTGTCCACCTATTGGTCGAAATCCGGTTCATCTGATTGGGTGGATTTATGGACCAATCATTTCGCTCCTAGACATCAACCAACTATTTAATTGCTCCTCCACCGATGCTTGCTCACACAATTCGTACTGATGGCGTTGAGTGAAGTGCGTACACCAATGAGGAAATTATTCCCCGATGTTGACAGTTCTCCATCAACAACACAACTCTCCATGGAAGAGTTACTCGACAGAATATGCAAACTCCAAATCTCCAAGTTCCGAGAGAAATACCAATTCGACTTGGAGAAAATGCAACCTTGTGGTGGTGAAAGTGAGGAGTTGCAGACAAACACAGAGGGACATAAACTGCGTCACTGTTGGAGTTGGGAATCAGTTGATGCCGCATGTGTTCCAGCCTTCTACCATCCTTGTATCGCACGTTCGAGGAAGCTTGTTAGAAATGTGTCTCCTGTCTCCATGCCCACACTAAAAACTCATCTTAGGAGTTCGAAGAAAAGTCGAGACGATTCTGCACAAATAAATACCTTCTTCCGAACAACTAAACGATCTTCCAGTCTGGTGATGGATTCGAAACACTGTGAGGCATCACCCAATTCTCATCGTCGATCGAGAGTGCCCACGAGAAAATCTGCTCCTGATTC